GTTTGAGTGTCATAAGCTAGGTCACTCTCAGGGTATCCCTAAAACTACCCTGGTTTGAGCTATAGTATAATATTCACTACCAGACCCTTTTGATATGAGGTAGAACTTCTCAGTCCCTCAAAGCTTAAGTTAAATTCCGTAAAATATAGTGGACCCTTGACTTACAAACTCAATTCATTCATGAGAGCTGGTTGTAACTCCAGTTAGTCAACTGAAAGCTCAGGATCCTCCACATAGCCTTCAAAGTCTCTGTCCTGTATACAGGCAGATCTCAGTGTCCTTAGAGAGACATTGGCCCAGGATTTCTCAATTAACCCCACACAGGAAAGCATGTTGTAATGTTCCTTCCAGAACACTTTAAGGGTTAAATCTGTATCTGAGACTATCTAGAAGCACAAACAGCCAACATTGTGTCTTAACCCAAGACTTTGGTCATAAGTTAAAACTAAAATTCTGGCCATAACCCAAGTTGTTGGTATGTCAGGCTGGTTGTAACTCAGGGGTCCACTGTAGCTCATTTTCAAGGGATATGGAACTCTGACATCCTCCCTAAGATTCCTGTGACACTCCTGGGCTTGTATCCTCAAGATCTCCTCTAAGGCCTTCATGGAAGTGTCACTTGGAGGGATGGGGCCATAGGTGAGTTCTCATCTCATCCTGGTGCTCACTGCCTCCCTTCCCCACCACCTGTCCCATCTAGTGGGTGATGGGCAATCACACCCAAAGTGTCCCGCAGATGTGGTGCTGCTATGGCTCCTTATCAACCCCAAGGCTGCCCTTGCTGTTCTGGCACAGAGGGGAGCTGGCATTCAAGGCTCCAGTTGAGCATATCTTAAACTTCCATGTTTTCCTAAATATGTACACATGCTATGTTTGGACACTCACAAATCTGGCCTACAACTACTCCAGAACTTGAGAGTCAAAGGCCCAAGTAGAGCGATGGCTTGGGAAAGGACCTGCGTTCAACAGGAAGGGTGGGCAGACGGAGAGGGTGGTGCCTGGGGAGCAGCACTGGCAAGGGCGGGCATCCAGAAGGCAGTGTTAATGCGTCTCCTCTTCTGGTTTATTTATGCAACATCATCACCCACAGAAAGCAGGAGGAATGAATACAGCTCAGAGAACCTCGCTGAGACACACGTGGCTGTAGGTTCTATCACAGGCTGTGTCTAACTGCGACTTGGTGCATTCAGGAATGATGGGCACTACAGGAAGGAAGATAAGCCAACTCGGGCAGGGCCAGGCATGACCTCTGGGACTCAGCAGGCACATGGGTCTTCGTCCCCACCTCCAGAGTGACTGACAAGTTTCCCTTTGCTATAAGACTCATGGGTTGGTGAAGTGAATGCAGTGAATGGTGACAGCTCGTGCTGTTACACTGGGAGAGGCAGGAAGCAGAACACTGTGGGGGTGGGCTGGAGGCCCATGTCACCCCGTGTCACCCAGTATCAGACCTCTGAAAGGACAGCCCCCAGTGTGTGAACACCTCTGCACTTCCAGAAAGAAGTGAGTTCAGAAGGGGTCCAGCTCCCCCAGCCTGCAGTTCCTCTCCAGGTTCAAGGGTGAGAAAGGCTCCCAGTGGGATCTTCCTCTGCTGCAATTGCTGAAGGGAAACACCAGGCTGGCTGACTAAGCAACAGCATTGGTTCTACAGTTCTGAGGGCTGAAATCCCGAGGCTGAGCTCCCTGCACCTCGGGAGTCTGATGAGGGCCACTTCCTAGATCACAGAAGCTCTCTCTGCATGCCCTGCATGGGGTGGAGGAAATAGAGAGCTCTGTTCTCTTCCTCTTCCATTAAGCGCACCATCTACAGTGAGAGCTCTGTCTGCCCAGCTCATCCAATCTTCACCACCCATGCAGGCCCCAAGCCCAGACACCACATCCTTAGGGTTAAAGTTTCCACATGGGAGCCTTGGGAGACATAGATAGACACGAGGTCTGTAACAGGGAGGGCAGGGCCCATGAGGGTGCCATCAAATAGTCCATACATCTTTGTCTCGGGTCAGGGTGACCTCAGAAACCCAGATACACGAAGACAGCCTCTGTCTCAGGAAAGCAAAGTTTAGGCTGTGCTATCTTGGCCTGGCCGGCAGAGGGCAAGGAGCCCAAGAAGGAGTAGGATACATGAGCTCCGGCTCCCAAACACCCAGAAGCATCTCCGTGAAGTATATGGTGCCCAAATGAAGCTTTCAGTTGGAAAACAGCCTTTCAGATCCACAATTGCGAAATCAGGAATTGCCACAGTATAGTTTAGCGATGGCAAACCTTTTAGAGGTTTCAGTAATGCACGCTGCAGCATGCATGTCACAGGTTTGCCACCACTGGTATAGTCAATGAGCCAAGCTTCTTGAATAATTCATCAAATTAATAGCAATGGTGTTCTTCTCTTCTGCAGGTATTTAAGTAACATCTTTTAAGCTAATTAAAGCCTCTTTTTGAGTGTTCGGGCACACACAGTACGTGTCACTCATGTTTTACGGTAGTTGTTGCAGATGAGAGAAGCCATGTCCTACCCTTCTGTTGCACAATGGGTCAAGTGCTTTTAACACACACAGGTGTTGTAATCTCTACTCCGAAAGACCTCATGAAGCTCTGTAATCACAGCCCTTGACAAGTGACTCCTCGGGGGGCTAATGAGGAGAACCTGAAGGGACTCAATGCTGTCACCTGCACAGCCCATCACTTGTCCTCTGTAGGTGATGTCACCCATGCCCTGCTCCTGGCTCAGAGGAGCCCTGGGAGAAGCCAAGTCACTCAGACTGCATCGCCACCAAGTCTCAGCTGCAAGCCTCCTCTGAGCAGGGAAACGCCTGACACGACTCTCAGCTGGCTCCTCACTACCCGGAGCCCAGTGCCATTGCCCCCTCTTCTTATGCAGCAACTGCAGGCCCCTTCACAATGTGGCACCCACTTTCTCCCCATCGGGTGGCAGAAGAGTGAGCCCTGGCTGCACTCCCCTCTCACAGAGCCTCCTTTGTCCCTGACACTGGAGGACCAAGAACAGAGGCCAGGAGGCTGTGCCCTGTGCCACCAATGCAGAGGGAGCACCGTCCCTGGACACATGGCCTCCTCCTGCTCTGAGCATGCTCCTCCCAACATGCTCTCCTCTCTGCAGCCAAACCCTTTGATCTTTTCTCTGAACTGACTTAAGTGCCCTGAAAATGTGTCTTGAGAAACCAGAGCAGTGGCTGAGCCCCTCCCTTTTCCTTCCCTGGCTCCTTAGGGGTCCCTGAGCCTGGCAGCCTCCCTGCCCTGTCTCATCACCCTTCCCATGGCTGCCCACATCCAAGGGGGCCACCGTGGATTCTGACAGTGATGATAGTAGCTCAGCTTGTGTACAGGATCTGCCTTGGCCATCTGTGCTGCTACAACAGAGAACCGCAGGCAGGAGGCTCCTCTAATTGTTTCTCTCAGTTATAGAAGGAGGAAGTCCAAGACCAAGGTCCCAGCATCCCAGAGGTCTGTTGATGGCTACTTCCTGGTTTGGAGGTGGCCTTATTACCCTCTCACGTGTCAGAAGGAGAGTGAGACCAAGCTCTCAAGCCTCTTTGTTTGAGACCATCAATCCCACCCCATGGTCTACATGAGGGCCCCACCCCATGATCTGCTAACCTCTCCCAAAAGCCCCACCTCCTAATGCCATCATCAGGGGGTGCAATTTCAACACAGAGATGTTGTGAGGACACAAACACCCATCTGGAGCAATGAGACAGACAACAGTGCCTGACTCTCTCTTTCTTCCTGTGACAGCAGAGGGGACATAGTTAGCCTCTGCACCTGACTTCCCTTTGCTTCCCCTCAGTCCCCAAAGGATGGATGGAGACATCTTGCCTCAGTGTCCTTCTGGGTTGCTTTGTAGCCACTGTGAGGCTGCTCCCATAGGAGGCACAGCTCACTCTCACTGTGGTCCTGCCCTGCTCCAGCTGCATGAGACACTGTGGCCTCCATTTTGAAGCAGTAGCAAGGAAACCACCCCAAATGGCCGAGATTGGTTAGAGAGGGACTTGGGCACATTATCAATGTCCTCAACCTCCCCAAATCCCAAGCATCTGGGATTAACACAGCTAGTGCTCCTGAGAAGTCCCAGGTTCCTACTTACCATTTTTCACAGTGAGGCAACAGCCCTTAATCAAGCAGCTCACATCTCCTGGTGTTCTACCCAATGCCCTATGACAACTGCACCCTGGATGCCCCACAGGTGCCCCAGAGGGTAGTCACCCTGACTACAGCAGGCTCAAATTTAAACTAAGCAACAGAATTGAATTTGGACCTATCACAAGTCTGCAGCTGCTATATAAGCAGCTCTCCTCTCACACCTCTCCCATTGCCCTAGGAAGGCTCCCTCTGGTGTACTGACCAGCTGGTGCAGCAGCATGGACCCTATTCAATAAACCCTTACTCCAGTGGTCCTATAAATCTACTTCTAAATCCACAGGTAGGGTGGACTTGGAAGGTTCTGTGAGTCTACAGAGGATTCTTATTCTTTGAAGTGTGGACAGGGCAGTTGCTTTTTAAAAAGAACTGTAAACACCAGGGGCTGCCAGCCCTAAAGAGCTCCAGAGCCTGGAGGAGATCAGCAGTGAGGTCTCCAGCAGTAGATTATCCAGTGAGGTTGACCAGCAGAAGCCAGCAGAAGCTGCTGAGAAGAGCTCCACATAGCTGTGAAGGATTTGTTTCAGCTGCTGTGAGCTGATGCACGGCCTGGCCCAGAGCTGGAACACTACAGGCTCAGAGCTGTGGGCACTCAGAATCCCAGATGGCTGAGGGCCATTGGCATTCAAAGCCCAGAGCCACTTGCTGATTCATGACTTCTCTCATAATTGAGTAAAAGAACCCTCTATTGTTGGACAACCTTACTGCTTTGCTCTGCAGGGCAGGGGAGTCCAGCTGGGATCCACAGCTTCTGGGACTGTGTTCCCTTCATCCTGTCTTCTCTCCCTGTCCCACCATGCACCCCTGAAAGGAAGCTCCCACCTGACAAGGGAGAGAAGATGTTCACCAACCTCTTGATCACTGAAATATCACCACAGCACAAGTCTGCAAACATCAGCTCCTCCGTGATGCTATCTTCTCCTGTGGCCAGTTCTGCTCCCTGACAGCAAGGAGGGACCTCCCCAGGAAACCTCTGATCTCTGGTGCAGTCAGATATACATTCTGGTGGTTCTGACCCACCAGAACAGACTGGGTTCTGAGTGGGTGACTTACAATACCACAGTCAGGCAGCATAACCACTGGTGTGCATGGCAGTTGGGAAGGTTCTGGAATTAACAGTTGTGAAAATTGCACAGCACTGTGAATGTACTGGAAGTGATCAGGTTGTACACTTTAAAGTGTTCAAAACCATGAAGGTTTTGATCCATGAATTTTATCTTGTTTTTGAAAAGGCTTTTGGACAGAGTCCTTAGAAAAAGCCTGTTGGGTCAGAAGTTGCCTCCATACCTGCATGATGACTGGCCACATGCCAAAGGAAATCTCCTGCCCCTGGACGAGGGCAGCTCCAGGCCAAAGAGGCACTCTGGTACACACACATCAGGAACAGAATCAGGCTGATGCCTGCAATGCTGACTGAGTGCTGCATGGGTTTGGGAGAGCAGTTGGTTCACAGGAACGAGGGGGCTGGGACTTCATGATGACCCTGCTGTGCACATTACACACCAGAAGTCCAATGTCTGCTGACAGAGCTGTACCAGGCTGCAAATAGAGGAGCCATCTCAGAGAGGAGTTGAGCTCCACATTCTAGGGTGTAAATGAGGGTGTAGGGAGAACAACAGGCAAGGACAGCAGTGAACTAATTGCCTTCCTGGGATCACTGGGCCCCAGGCAAAGCCCTGTGCACCAAGCAAAGGGCTATCTTTGCTGGACCCAGAGCTCACACCAAGAGATCAACTGATCTGTGCTGGTCAAGCTTGTTTACTTTTTTTCCACTCAATTCACACGAGCATCAGAAAGAAGTTGAGACCAGAAAGTTCGGGGGGGGGGGCGGGTCTGGTCTGAAATCTGGATGGCACCACCCACACCTAAGAAAGCCCAGCCTTAGGGGCTGGGGATTTAGCTCAGTGGTTCCGTGTGCCTAGCCTACAGCAGCATCCCAAGGGACAGCTGGTTTTATTGCTCCACTCAATGCCTCATCCACAACGAAGCCAGAGCCAGCAGCTGGAAATAGCTCCAACACCTCCCACTGCCTCAGTCTCTTTAGCTTTGCCTTTCTCACACTTTTTTATTTTCTCACAAAGTCTCACACTCTCCCTAAGTGCATGTCTAGGTGCGGGGTGGATGAAATGTGATAAAATGTCACCCACCAGTGTGAGTGGCTTCTAGGAATCTTTGTAGTAATTTAGGACACAGGACAGGCATGCTTGCAGAAAAAGCCTGGGGAACGCAATCCAAGGGCAAGGACCTCATGGGCTCCACCAAGACCTTTCCAGGATCTCTCCCAGACTCCCAGGAAACTCAAGAAACCTGGGACCAGAAGTCCTAAGAACTTTAGAGCTTAAATCTATGCTAGAGTTTAATTTCTTACATTGTACATGTGACAACATTTTCAATTTATGATTTCTATTTAAAGTTCAAATGCCAAGGGAGACCATGGAAGACTGCAGAGTTTGGGAGCAGAGACTGTCTGGCTTGAACTGGCCAGTGGAGGAATGTGAATTCAGGGCACGGGGCCTGTGGAAATCGTGCTTGACAGATGGAGCTAGGGCAGAGAAGGTGAGCCAGTCCCAACACCTGGAAGGAAGCTCCCTGCCTCCATCCCAGGCACCTAGGGCAGAGAAGCTCAGCCGGTCCCAGCACCTGGAAGGAAGCTCCCCCGCTGC